GCTCTCTCCAGCTCTCTATAACCTGCACTCTCTGAGCAGTACGCTCTCTCCAGCTCTCTATAACCTGCACTCCCTCAGCAGTATGCTCTCTCCAGCTCTCTATAACCTGCACTCCCTGAGCAGTACGCTCTCTCCCGCTCTCTATAACCTGCACTCCCTGAGCAGTACGCTCTCTCCAGCTCTCTATAACCCGCACTCCCTCAGCAGAATGCTCTCTCCAGCTCTCTATAACCTGCACTCTCTGAGCAGTACGCTCTCTCCAGCTCTCTATAACCTGCACTCCCTGAGCAGTACGCTCTCTCCAGCTCTCTATAACCTGCACTCCCTGAGCAGTACGCTCTCTCCAGCTCTCTATAACCTGCACTCCCTGAGTAGTACACTCTCTCCAGCTCTCTATAACCCGCACTCCCTCAGCAGTACGCTCTCTCCAGCTCTCTATAACCTGCACTCCCTGAGCAGTACGCTCTCTCCAGCTCTCTATAACCCGCACTCCCTCAGCAGAATGCTCTCTCCAGCTCTCTATAACCTGCACTCTCTGAGCAGTACGCTCTCTCCAGCTCTCTATAACCTGCACTCCCTCAGCAGTATGCTCTCTCCAGCTCTCTATAACCTGCACTCCCTGAGCAGTACGCTCTCTCTAGCTCTCTATAACCTGCACTCCCTGAGCAGTACGCTCTCTCCAGCTCTCTATAACCTGCACTCCCTGAGCAGTACGCTCTCTCCAGCTCTCTATAACCTGCACTCCCTGAGTAGTACACTCTCTCCAGCTCTCTATAACCTGCACTCCCTGAGCAGTACGCTCTCTCCAGCTCTCTATAACCTGCACTCCCTGAGCAGTACGCTCTCTCCAGCTCTCTATAACCTGCACTCCCTGAGTAGTACACTCTCTCCAGCTCTCTATAACCTGCACTCCCTGAGTAGTACACTCTCTCCAGCTCTCTATAACCTGCACTCCCTGAGTAGGCCCTGGGGAGATAGCGCAGCTAAGCGGACAAGGGCACATGTAGGAGTGTGGGGATAGATGCATGGGATTGGATGGGAAAGAGTGTGTGGGTGGGATTATGTTCTGTGTAAGTTAGTGTGGGGGAGGTCTTACCTCAGTGCCACTTGGGATTCGGGCCAGCAAACAGCTTCCTGTCCTCCTGCTCCTGTTTGCCTGGGCCTTTAGTCTTCACAGCTTGAGGTGATGGATGTCGAGGCGATCCTGTCGTCCCTCAGGGCTGCTGCAGCGTGGATGGTGGCCGGCACCTGTGGAGGCAATTTACCAGCATTACTGGAGGTATGGCTGCCGGTGTGGGCACCCCCCCGTGGCCTACCCTCCCCCTGGAGCACCCCCTGCGGTCTCCCCTGCTGCCTCCCATGCGGTCCCTGCCCCTGGGGGCCGCACCCGCACTGGCAGGCATTCCCACCCGCCTGCCAGGCTGTCCCTGGATCCTACTCCCCGGGCCCGGTGAGGAGCAGGAGCCTGGGCGCGGGGGCCGCGTGTCTGGGGCTGCAGGCACGCGGCCTACTACTGGGGGGGCCGGGATCTGAGGCCTACTGGGGCCGCGCGGGTGGCACGGCCTTCAGACACGAGGCCTGCCACTGCCGCCCGGCCTGCTACCCCCATGGCCGCCCAGCCTGCTACTGACTGGGCCGCCCACTACTGCCAGGCCGGGGATGCGGCCTGCAACTGCCGCGCGGCCTCCTCCTCTCTCCCCCCCCTCCACACCATCCGCCCGGCCGCCTGTGCTGGATTGCGGGCCGGGGGCGGTGGGCGGCGGATCCCGCGATCCGGGCGGCAGGTGGCCGCCCGGCAACTGTCCAGGTCCCCCGCGGCCGGCGGGGAGGTGAGTGGGGCCTCATGGGCCGCTGGGGGGGTCCCCTTGCCCGTCGGGAGCCTCCTCTGCCAGTGAGGAAGGCTCCCAGGTCTCTGTCTCCCTTCCCTCCCTCCCTCCCTCCCTCCCTATCTGGATGGCTTTACTATTTTCTTCCAGGGGGCCCAGCTTTCCCTTGCCTGGGCCCCCTGGTCCCCCCTCCTATTTCCTGTTTTTCTCTTCTCCCCCCCCCTCTACCTTGCCCCTCTACCTTGCCTGACCCCCCAACTCCCCCCAGGTCACTTACCTCGGCCATCTCCTCTGGGGCGGGGGCTCATCTTCTCTGCTGCTTCTTCTCAGCATGCTGCTGCAGTTCATGGATCTGTCCAGCAGGTGGCGCCTGGATCACAGCTGATGTCTTCTGTGGATGCTGGAACTGCTGTTTCTTTGCCTCATCCTTCTGTGAGCGCATTGCCGGGCTTGGAGTGCCAGGCTGCGTCCGGGGAGTACATTTCCCTTCTTTTAGCGCTTCGCGTGCGTATGTTATTTCTTCCTTTCTTCCTAAAAAAAAAATAAAAAATTACAGGACAGAAATACAAGGTAAATTACCTATTGGACAAAAAAATAAAGGAATCCAACGTCAAGTACAAGGGGAAGAATTAAATATATAAAAAAAATTTAAAAAATTAAAAATATATGGGGAATCCACAATAAAACAAAATTTAGGTACCCCCTTTCCTTTTTCAGTATGTATCATACATTTAGGTGGGCTTTCCCGCAGCATCTGGCGCAGCTGATAGCGCCGGCGATGCCTCCCAGGTTCACGTGACTATGGGCTGCTGAGCTCATGTGGCCCGCTTGGCTTGCGCGTAACGCTAGGGAGCAGATGGAGAATGGGGTTTTTTATTGAAGGATGTTCCCTCCTGCCACGGGGGTCCCTTGACTAAGGGGGACATTAGGGGCTCGGGGAGGGTCGTGGGGAGCATGCTGTGGTCGGATGCACCCCAGGGCGCATATCGGACAGGGCTCCCCAAGTCGGCACTGCGGGTTCAGCGGTCAGGACACTCTCGGGACGCGTATCGTCCCTGTGCTGGGTTGGTGGAGGTACGTTTTGCACATTCGTCAACGGTTGGCAGTGCGACCCTTCTTGGCCTGGGGCCGGATGGGTTTTGCCGCTGGTTTTCTTTGGGGCTCACCTAGCCCCTCAGCATAGCGTGTTTTTCCTTCCTCTCTGCAATCGGTCGGGATGGGGACCCTCAGTTTATGTGGGAGCTCCATCGGGTGATGTGGGTCCAGTTTACCAAGCACGCTTATAAGTTTACTTCCCAGTCGTTTAGGGTACCCGTGGAGTTCGCTGTGGTGCCCAAGGAGGAGGAGCAGGGTTGGTATCTCCAGATTACTTATTTGCTCAGTTGTCGTTTCCTTCCAGGGGCTAGGTTTGGGATGATGGCTCGGCGCAGCGGGCTGCATGGGTGGGGTTGCAGGGCCTTGCTGACAAAGGCGGCTGTGGAATCAGTTTTACGGCTGCTGCCGGTATGCCCGTCGGGTTTATTGTTTCCAGGTTGTGTTCCCGACGGTCAGGATTGGGTGGTGCTGTGCCTTCATGTAGGTTGCTCCCGGTGTCATTTATGCGTAGGGCCGTCGGTGCAGCATGTCCGCACTCTGCTGCTACAGTGTTTTCCTGGGGTAGTTTTATGAGTTTCGGAGTTCCGTGGCCCAGGCTATATCCGTAGGTTTTGGGGGGGTTTTGGGCCAATTTGGGCTCTCAATGGTGTGCTGACTCTTGCCCATTACACTGGCAAGGATCGGTTTTCTGGCGGACTTTGGGGTTCTTGGAGCTTCCCCTTTCTGGTGGCATGGTAGGCATGGGGTGCCCGGCTCTAGAACAGGTAGGTGGGGTTTTCCTTTGGGACCATCGTGGGGCAGTGCGGGCTGTCTTGTCATGTAACAGTACACTTTACCCCAGGGTTACTCTGGTGGCAGCGCCTGGCTTGGCGCTGTTTGAATCTAGGGCGGCTGGTCTTAGGTTTTTTGTGTCCGGGTATTCCCGATGTGGTGGCCGACGCTCTGTCTTGGTCATTATTGGGCATACTTCGGTCAGAGGTGTCACGGGGTCAATGTTAGGGCAGTGGAGGTGGTCGCCTGGTCCAACAGTTTGATGAAGCTGGTCCGTGGGTCGCCCTATGAGGCGGCGTGGGGCCCACTCCAGTATGGTGGGAGTGATCGGTACGGATGGGGACGTTTCCTTGTAGGTTCCGGGAGTGGACTGCTCATCTACATGTTTGGTACCGTCTGTTGAGGGCGCTAGGGGTGATTTCTGTGATTGGCAGAGCTCGGCTTCCTGTTCAGGTTACAGTTGTTGGCAAGTGGTGGGGTGTTTTGGTGGACGGACTTATTTCAGGTTTTGCCGCTCGACTGCTGTTGTCGTGGGACGGGTAAGTCAGTTGCGGTGTGGCTGATGCGTCGATGGAATCTGTGCGATTCTTGGATGTTTAGGGGTCGACGTGCCCTGGCTTTTCCGCTTTCTCCTAAGGTAGATGGAATGCACGGGGTGATGGTTGGGCTCCTAACACGGTGTAATGGGTTCCCAGGATGGCCTGACAAATTCCGTTCTGATCGGAGACACTGCAGGTTTCCATCAATTGCCGGAAAGTTGGTGGGGTGTTCGAGGGGCATTTATTCTGGTTTGGGATGGCTACGGTCGCCGCCAGGCTTGGGGTGCCTGCGCCAATGGTTCAGGGGCTCGAATTTTGGGAGTCAGGGTGGTGGTTCCTTCAGGTTCACCCTGCTGGTCTCCGAATGGATTTCTCACCGTGGTTACGGCCCCCCTCCCCCCCCCCACGGAAAGGGAGGTTCAGTGGTCTGGCACCAGTTACATGGTGGGGGTGTGGTCCTCCTCGTACGGGGTCGGCTGTCCCGCCTCTTGGACGTACCAGGGGTTTTTGTCATCTCTGGGTGGATTGATATGGGTTCGGTGTTGTATGGGGTGCTCTTCAATCTGAGGGTGCTCTGGAATCTGGACATGTTACACATTCTGTTTCTGTTTCTTACCAGAGGTTCTCAGGGGGCCGGGCTGAGGCTATCACCTGTTCCTGTTGGCAGTGCGCTCAGCAATGTGAGTGCCCTGGTGCGCTGCAGTCGGGAATCGGTCGAGGTGGGTTTCTTGTTTTGGCTTGGGGGATTCCAGTTCACCTTGGGGTGTGGCCGGATGTGGCCTAGTTATCTCGATGGGATGGGTGCGCTTGCTGGAGGTCGGATGAGGCCTATGTTGATGGTGCACTGAGGACGACTCCGGCTGGAGATGAAACGCGATTGCTGCTATATCAAAGGATTGTATCTGGTATTTTTTCTTGTTTCCTCTGCGGTGTTTTATTTAGGCTTTGTGCCTAGTATATTTTACTATTTATACACTGCATATTGTCCCTGTTTTAATTGTTTATTTGTGCAATAAATTTTGGAGTCTGCACTTTGTATCCTGTGCTGCTCTCCTCAAGGATATCGTTTAGCCTTTTTAGGCACCCTCCTGCACATTATATAGAGCCTGGGATGGCTTTAAATCCTGTGAGTTTTACGCTACATAAGGAGTCTAACATTATGTATGTGTATATATGTATGTATATATTTTGCGCTATGTTGTGTCATTGGATTGATCACGAATGGTTATTTAATTTCCTGGTGCAGTACTTATTCTATGTTGATCTGGCACTGCTAGCAGTGGTGGAACAGGCCATGGCTGGTTGTGGTGGGGTCCCCCGCTGATTTTAGGTGTAAAACAGCGGGGTTGTGGCGGGGGTATGTCCTTGCCAATTGAGTTTGAGGTTACGTTTAAGTATATGGAATGAGATGAACAAGTTTTTTAAGGTCTCAAACCTCCCCTGCTTCAAAGGTTAAACTTTAGGTTGCCTGAGGTCTCATGCCCATCGAGAGTGGGTAAAGTCGGCTGATGGCAGGCATTGGAAATATATGATTTTTATGACGAGGGGGGAGGTGAGAGAGAGTGGTGATTAGGAACCACTCTATGTTTATTGGCAAGGACGGTTGGGTCACTGTATAACACTATGGGTGGAGTTATATATGTATATATGTTAATTTATGCTTATTTATGTCTAACGTTTTGGTTACAGAAAAGAAGAGATTTAATAAATAAAATTATGGATGTGTTATGCAGTAATTTAGTTTGTGCTAATAAATGCTGTGGCCTGTTTCATCCATACTAAGTGGTCTGTCGTTATTGGGGGGGTTGAATGGGGTTGGATTTTGTTCTAGGCTGCATCACGATTCCCCACTACGTACATACAAGTACACTCTCTCCAGCTCTCTATAACCTGCACTCCCTGAGCAGTACGCTCTCTCCAGCTCTCTATAACCTGCACTCCCTGAGCAGTACACTCTGTCTGGCTCTCTATAACATGCACTCCCTGAGCAGTACGCTCTCTCCAGCCCTCTATAACCTGCACTCCCTCAGCAGTACGCTCTCTCCGGCTCTCTATAACCAGCACTCCCTGAGCAGTACGCTCTCTCTGACTCTCTATAACCTGCACTCCCTGAGCAGTACGCTCTCTCCGGCTCTCTATAACCTGCACTCCCTGAGCAGTACGCTCTCTCCAGCTCTCTATAACCTGCACTCCCTCAGCAGTACGCTCTCTCAGCTCTCTATAACCTGCACTCCCTGAGCAGTACGCTCTCTGCAGCTCTCCTATAGCCTGCACTTCCTGAGCAGTACGCTCTCTCCAGCTCTCTATAACCTGCACTCCCTGAGCAGTACGCTCTCTCAGCTCTCTATAACCTGCACTCCCTGAGCAGTACGCTCTCTCCAGCTCTCTATAACCTGCACTCCCTGAGCAGTACGCTCTCTCAGCTCTCTATAACCTGCACTCCCTGAGCAGTACGCTCTCTCCAGCTCTCTATAACCCGCAATCCCTCAGCAGTACGCTCTCTCCAGCTCTCTCTAACCTGCACTCTCTGAGCAGTACGCTCTCTCTTGCTCTCTATAACCTGCACTCCCTGAGCAGTACGCTCTCTCTGGCTCTCTATAACCTGAACTCCCTGAGCAGTACGCTCTCTCCAGCTCTCTATAACCCGCACTCCCTCAGCAGTACGCTCTCTCCAGCTCTCTCTAACCTGCACTCTCTGAGCAGTACGCTCTCTCTTGCTCTCTATAACCTGCACTCCCTGAGCAGTACGCTCTCTCTGGCTCTCTATAACCTGAACTCCCTGAGCAGTACGCTCTCTCCAGCTCTCTATAACCCGCACTCCCTCAGCAGTATGCTCTCTCCAGCTCTCTATTACCTGCACTCCCTGAGCAGTACGCTCTCTCCAGCTCTCTATAACCTGCACTCCCTGAGCAGTACGCTCTCTCTTGCTCTCTATAACCTACACTCCCTGAGCAGTATGCTCTCTCTTGCTCTCTATAACCTGAACTCCCTGAGCAGTACGCTCTCTCCAGCCTTCTATAACCTGCACTCCCCGAACAGTACGCTGTAACGGAGCTTCCTGTACCCCGGTTGGGTACCTCCGCCGACAGATGCTCCTAGTACTCACCAAGGACTCCAAACTTTCCACCAGACACCATCAGCACTACAGTCCCCACGCCCAGTGTTACAGCTTGGCTGAGAACTCGCCGTCTCCTTCCTACCCTGGACCACGACAAGGCTCCAGTGGGTGAACCTCTCCTCCAAGAGAGAGTAGCAGGAACAGCTCTTAAAACAGCTTAGTGATTAAAACCAGGGGAGTAAACAGAGTATAGCAATCCCCAGTGTAGATGCAGTCTTTTCCCCCACACATGAGACAGAGACGCTATGTTGAGGGTAAAACAGAAACTGAAGGTTTATTGTGGCACACTGCCTTTTATACAGTTTTCCCCACAAGGTTACCACCCAGGTGGACTGTTACGGTTACCCCAGGCTAGCTGAGGGTTGGAACGTAGACGGATGCTCCTAGTGCTAACCAAGGACCATCAGCACCGCACCTGACACCATAAATACTGCAGACCCCACAAACTGCCGCAGCTTGGTTGGGTCTCGCCATCTCCTACCCACCCTGGACCTACGACAAGGCTCCAGGTTCCAGTGGGTGAATCTCTTTTTCCCCAGAAAGTGAAGCAGGAACAGGAACAAGCTCTTACAAGAGCTTAGTGATTATTCAAGCGAGTATGAAGAGCATAGCAATCCCTTGTAGCAGATTCCCCCAAGAAGAGACAGGACTCTAGATTGAGGGTGAAGTAGAACTGAAGGTTTATTGCCACAGCTTGTAATATATACAGTTTTTCAGGCCAGAGGCACACCCCTGGACCTGATGAAAAACAGGGACACAAGGAACATAAACCAATGGGAACATATTAGCACTGTAACACTCCCACATACAGTCAGCAAGCCCTCCCCTCTGCCTTTGATATAATTAAGGTAGATAATGTACTAACTTAATTATCCACAGGCAGAAAACACACTTTTTTTTACCCAAAGTACAGAAACACCCCAAAACTCCAACATATCCCCATACATCCCTGGATAGCCCTGATCTGGGTAAACAACATATGCAAAAATCACCCAGATCAGAGCAGGGGTTCAGGAAATTCCTGGAATTCTCTTTTGACTGACCGCACACACATTTTCATGCCCCAAACAGTTCCAGAGAATTAGGCTGTGCAGCCGGTCTATTTTCAATGTCTAAGTTCCATTCAAATAGTCGACCAGGGACCGTTCGTGCACATCGTCAGTGTCAAAGTGCCGTTCGAATTGTCGAACGCTGTTCGACTCCTGTCCAAGTTCTGAAGAAGGTAAAGTTCAGTGGTGTTCGTGCCGTCGTGTGTCTGATTTGAGTTCCATGAACTCAACGACAAAACACAGCTGACCGACTGAATAAAATGGCCGCCGTCACATGTTTGAATGTCGAATGGCGGCCACTTTAATTTGTTAATTTAATTTTTTATGTAGAGACAATTTTACAACTTTATCATCTCATGGTTATTCTTATTTCACATTTTATTATAATGGTTTTAATATCAAGAACATATATTACAGTATACTGTTGCTATTATGAACATATTTTTTGTCAGTTATATCTGTATAAGTATAAGCTATATGTGCCATCTAAGAGTGATGAAAGGGT